GACTCACAATATTTGCAGCTCCTCTACAAGAGGATCAGAGATCAAAAGTCTCGGACAGCACAGTCCTTCCAGTTCTGCCCTCCCAGCCCACCAGACAGGGGCCTAGATTAGAAAGTTTGTATTTAGTACACATTATTCCACTCCCCTATAGCACATCCTGTTCCTCATCCAAAGCACAGGGTCCTTTGTGTGCACATTCCATTACACACTCACTTTCCAGTGCAGTCATCCCATTGCCTCAGAGAAGGAAAATCCTGAAAACAAGCACAGGTCACATTCATAAAGGAATCACTGTTCCTGTGTAACTGTGGTTACTTTGTAACTGTTGTTAAACAAAAACAGACCATGAATTAGAAAACAATCAGGATCATGTGATAGCTCAGAGGGAGCCATAAAAAATGTGGATATGATGCAGTTTTAATCTCAAAAATTATTTTGAAAACTTGAAACACACTTTATGTGCTCCAGAGACTAAGAATTTGTATCAGAGCACAATAAATATTCCTCATGGATTCTCCCTAAAGGCGAAGATCAGAAAAGTAACAGTCCTGTTAAGCAGGGCCACAATATTTTACCCAGATAATCTATTTTTGATGAACTACTGTAAATACCGCAATTAGATTTCAAGATAAGGTCAGTCCCATACCTAGATTGCCATTGTCTGTGGACTGCAAACAATGGTCAATCAGGACAATCATACAGCATCACAATTGACCTCCTGATGCCACATAAGTAATCTCAGTTGAAGGAGGAAAGCTCTTACCCTCAAGCCAACTTCTCACTTCCTGCACTGTGCTTCAAAGTTGGTCAATGTGTTCAATTCTTATACCAATCCCTCTTCATTTCTAAGTCCTCAATAAAAGCCAGAATGATTAGCAGACACTCATTAACTGCTCTATTTTTCTTTTTCACTGACTAGTGAAGGACAAACCTGGAAGGAGTTGCAGGACTGTCTTTCCAGAACTGGGCAGCAGAGGCAGGATTAGGTGTTCAAAATAATTCTCAATTACATAACATGAGGCAAGCCTAAAGTATAGGAGACATTGCTCTACATAGAAATCAACATAACTTGAAAGAAATGAAATGAAACTCTCAATGACTTAGAAACATTGGAGAACAGAAACAAATAGTGATAACAGAAGCAATACACTTAAAGAAAGTATTTGAAACTGATACCAAAAAGTGATTTTTAAAGTGATAATAATAATGCACTCTTAGATGGGCAATGCTGGATCAGGCCTTTATTCCCAGCACTCAGGAGGCAGAAGAAATTGGATCTTTCTGAGTTTGAGACCAGCGTGGTCTATGACAGGTCCAGGACAGGCTCCAAAGCTACAGAGAAACCAACCCTGTCTCAATACACCAAAAAATGCACTTTTAAGATTAAATAAAATTTTATATATTGACTTAAAAAAAGAGCAGGCCCTTCCCTAGGAGAGGGGATGTCATTAACAAGAGATAGATTGATGGTACCCATATACAATGTTGACTGCTGAAATTTGTAACCGCCTATATAGTTAGTCAATGGCCTGTTTTTCAAATCTCCGAGCTGACATAACTCTGTCAAGCAAGATTGATCATATTTCTTACCAAAAGCAATCTACAGATTGAATACAATGCCCTTTAAAATTGCAGCAAAATTCTTCAAGGACTTCAAAAGAACAGCACTCAAATTCATTTGAAAAACAAAAAACCCAGGATATCCAAAACAATCCTATACAATAAAAGAACTTCTGGAAGCATCACAATCCCTGTCTTCAATCTTTACTACAGAGATACATTACTGAAAACAGCCTGGTATTGTCATAAGAACAGACAGGAGGACCAATGGAGCTGAATAGAAGACCTGGATATTAATCCACATATTTCTGAACATTTGATATTTGATAGGAAAGCAAAAAATATCAAATGGAAAAAAGAAAGCATATTGAACTAGTGGTGCTGGCATAACTGGACATCAGCATGTAGAAAAATGAAAATAGATCCATATCTATCACCATGCACAAAACTCAAGTCCAAATGGATCAAAGACCTCAACATAAAGCTACCCACACTGAAAATTATACAAGAAAATGTGGGAAGTGCACTTAAAGGTACTGACACAGGGAACCACTTCCTAAATATAACTGCAGTAGCACAGACACTGAGAGAAACAATTAAATGGTATGCCCTGAAACTAAAAAGCTTCTGTAAAGCAAAGGACATGATCAGCAAGGCAAAACAACAGCCTGCAGAATGGGAAAATATCATCACTAACCCCATATCAGACAAAGGTCTGATCTCCAAAATATACAAAGAACTCAAGATATTAGACACAAGAAGAACTCATAATCCAATAAAAAAAAATGGGAGTAAAGACCTAAACAGAGAACTCTCAACAGAGGAATCTAAAATACCTGAAAGACAATTAAGGAAATGTTCAATATCGTTAATCAGAAATGCAAATCAAAACAACTCTGAGAGTCCATCTAACACCTGAAAGAATGGCCAGGATTAAAAACACCAATGACAACTTATGCTGGAGAGGTTGTGGGGAAATGGAAACACTTCTGCATTGCTGGTGGGAATGCAAGCTGGTAAGGTCCCTTTGGATGTCTGTGTAGCAATTTCTCAGAAAATTAGGAAACAGCCTTTCTCAAGACTCAGTAATACCACTTTCATATATAATCAAGAACATGTGCTCAACTATGTTCATAGCAGCTTTGTTTGTCATAGCCAGAATGTGGAAACAACCTAATGCCCCTCCATAGTAGAATGAATAAGAAAAGTGTGGTACATTTACACAATGGAGTACTACACAGCATAAAAAAATAATGACATCTTGAATTTTGCAGGAAAATGGGTAGAGCTAGAAAACATTATTTTGAGTGAGGTAACCCAGACACAGAAAGATAATTATCACATGTACTCACTCATAGGTGGTTTTCAAGCATAAAGCAAAGAAAGCCAGCCTACAAACCACAATCCCAGATCTTAGACAAAAATGAGGATGCTAAGAGAGACTTACAGAGCTCTAATCTACATGGGAAGTATAAAGTATAAAAAGACAGAATCTCCTGAGCAAATTGGGTGCATGGGGACCTTGGGAGAGGGTTGAATGGGGAGTGGAGAGGCAGGGAGTGAAGCAAAGAAATTGTAGAGCTCAGTAAATATCAATAAACAAAGATCGATCATATCTGCAGAGGATAGTTGCCTAATTGCAAATTCAGTGTTCCTTGACTCAAGTTAACCTTCCTAATCTGGACACCCACACAATCTAGTCTGTGTTCATCCACATGACATTAATTTACACATGCTGGGCAATTACAAACGACTACTGCTACCACAGTCAGGCCCTTTTTCATAGTGGTGGCTCCAACAGCTGATTGCCTATGCTGTACCCCCTGCAGTGCACACAATAATCTATTCTTCCTATTGTGGTCTGAGGACAGAAGAAATGCTCCATATGCAAACCTTTTTCCTGCAACTGCATTGGGCAATCAACTACATGGCTCAAATGCATTATCTTATTTTAATTTATTGGTTTTGTTTGAGACATGGTATCTCTGTAGCTTTGGTGCCTGTCCAGGAACTAGTTCTTGTAGACTATGCTGGCTTCAAACTCACAGAGACCTGCATGCCTCTACCTCCTGAGTGATTGGATTAAAGGCGTGCACCACCACTGCCCGGCAAATACATAATTTTAAAACTGTGAATTGGTACAGTCATTTAAGAATTTTGCAGGTATAATATTGAGGACACTAAAGGTTGCCCAGGAAAGCAACAGACAGGGACCAAGGCCAACTGAGTCAACATAACAGAAGTTGTCTCAGAAACAATATTTCTATTGGGATGGAAATGCAGCTCTTCTAGAATTAATATGCCTTTCCACTGAGAAATCACAATCCACATTTAGAAGATTAATAAAGAGAAGTATCTTTAATGATGTTATGCACTGATCTCTGTTCAATGCTCAAGGGGAGCTACGTTAGACAGATTTTGCATTCAATATATGCTCTTATCCATAAGTATCCCTTAGGATAATGGTCAAGATTAAACTTTGAACAATTGAAATAGAAACAGGCAACTTGAGAGTCTAAATATTTAGGCAAAATTATTCTCAGAATATTCTCTTAAGTACGCCAGTGACCAGTTACAGCAGGTCATTCTTCACTGACAGGGTTCTAAGGTGAAGGTCACAAGGGATTTTTCGAGACTGGGTTTCTCAGTAGCTTTGGAGCCAGTCCACGAACTCTCATAGATCAGGTTGGCCTTGAACTCAAAGAAATCCACCAGCTTCTGCCTCTAGAGTGTGGGAATTAAAGGCATGCACCACCACCACCTGGCAGTGAGTTTTTATTTTTAAATCAGTGGTGGCTTCTTTGAAATGGTTTGGAGTCAAATATCTGGACAATCCTGGTGAACAATGTATACGCGGGCATTCTAATCTCTTCCAGCCCTAATTAGCATATGCTTAAAGTCTGGGTGTTTTAGATGCAGTTCTCCCTCCACTAAATTCTACTTTGTGAGACTTAATTATTTTTTAAGCATTGGTCAATCTATTGTATCACCAATTCTACTCTTCAACATTATGGTACAGTAGTGGAAAGCTACACAACACGTGAGATGCCTTTGATAATCTCAACAAATTTAAATCTCAACTTAGATTATATTTAAAGCTTAAATGCAAAGTGCTCCATACCAAGAAAATATTGGAGAAATTAGGTTTCTCTGAGTTTGGCAACTTATTTCCATGAATGCATCAACCCTGTTGAAGTTGACTAGGAAAGTTTTTTTAAACACAGCTTCCCGCGCCCAATACTCTAAGGAGATGAAGCCACAGAGCAAAGTTATTCAGAGGCCTGCCCCTAGGTCCAGGAGTTAGCAGGGACCATGAGGGACTTCACATACAGGGAATATGGCGGCGGGTTCCCACCCAGACCCATGGAGGGAACAACATAGTGTTTTCCGCACCTCACCCTCTGCTCCTCCCCATCAGGAGACAGCATTCCCTCACTCACCATGTTGTGCTTCTCCATTTTGCCAAAGTTCTCAGCTCATCATCTCTCTGCAACAGCAACTGCACCCGAGAACAGGAATCCAGGTCACCTGGAGTATATGATTGGCTAATGAGTCCTGAGTGACAAGAGCACCTCACATAGGGCTATAGTATGCTTAAAGAGACAGAATACTGGTTCCTGTCCAATCCATTCACCCCAACAGAGAACTTCTCCAGATCTGAGAATATATACATTTCAATAGCACTTGCCCCTGGCTACAAAAGCAGTCAATGTCATCTTCTTGTACTCCATAGGAACTTTCTCTTTTTTCCATCACACTAAGGTGATTTATATGGTGCACTGTGCAAGGTGGGTGGAGTAATTTCCTGTCCCACAGGGGTAAGGATGCCTAGAACACTAACAACTAAAGAGAGTTTTAAAGTTACAAAATGTAGCTTCATAAAAGGAATTTGGCAATGACTCTTCTGTTTCTATATTGTGAAATACATTAAGGAGTATAGGTATTAGTTCTTCTTGGAAGTTCTGGTAGAATTCTGCATTGAAACCATCTGGTCCTGTGCAACCACTCTGGAAAGCAGTGTGGCGGTTTCTCAGGAAATTCAGGATCAACCTACCCCTGGACCCAGCAATACCACTCTTGGGAATATACCCAAGATAGGCCCTATCATACGACAAAAGTATATGCTCAACTATGTTCATAGCAGCATTGTTTGTAATAGCCAGAACCTGGAAACAACCTAGATGCCCTTCAATGGAAGAATGGATGAATAAAGTATGGAATATAAACATATTAAAGTATTACTCAGCAGTAAAAAACAAGGACTTCTTGAATTTTGCATACAAATGGATGGAAATAGAAAACACTATCCTGAGTGAGGTAAGCCAGACCCAAAAAGAGGAACATGGGATGTACTCACTCATATTTGGTTTCTAGCCATAAATAAAGGACATTGAGCTTATAATTCATGTTCCTAGAGAAGCTAAATAAGAAGGTGAATCCAAAGACAAACATATAGTCATCCTCCTGAATATTAACCTTCATCAGGCGATGAAATGAGACAGAGACAGAGACCCACAATGGAACACCGGACAGAAATCTCAAGGTCCAAATCAGGAGCAGAAGGAGAGGGAGCACGAGCAAGGAACTCAGGACCGCGAGGGGTACACCCACACACTGAGACAATGGGGATGTTTTATCGGGAACTCACCAAGGCCTGCTGGCCTGGGTCTGAAAAAGCATGGGATAAAACAGGACTCTCTGAACATAGCAGACAATGAGGACTACTGAGAACACAAGAACAATGGCAGTGGGTTTTTTATCCTACTGCACATACTGGCTTTGGGGAAGCCTAGGCAGTTTGGATGCTGACCTTACTAGACCTGGATGGAGGTGGGCAGTCCTTGGGCTTCCCACAGGTCAGGGAACCCTGATTGCTCTTCGAGCTGATGGGGGAGGGGGACTTGATGGGGGAGGGGGAGGGAAAAGGGAGGTGGTGGTGGGGAGGAGGCAGAAATCCTTAATAAATAAATAAATTTAAAAAAAATAAAAATAAGCACATAGAAATATCAAACTGCTTATACTTGTTCATATGTTTAGTGTCTAAACTGCTAGTATCATTTAAATTAATAACAGATATATGGAAAACATATACAGCAACTGGAATAGTAAAAAACACCAGTCCCATTCTGTAAAACAAACTTCAAGCTACTTTATAAGAATAAAATAAAATTTATGTTGAAAAAAAATAGTTACAAAATGAAATATTTGTTCTGTGGCTTCAATCTGAGGTCAGATGAACTGAAGATACTTTTAACATAGTTTTCACATGGATTTTACACAACAGGAAAGAGAAAATCAGGAACCAAATCTCAAACAAGATGATTGGTCTTTCCCCCATTGGAAAGCTGGATGATGACTCCATTGTTTATGGGTTTTATTCCTTAAATTTCAAGCAAACTCCAGGCAAATGAGTAATAATAGAAAGAGTAGTGTTCATGGAAATTTGAATATGTAGAGAGTAATGGAGCTAGAAAGAATGTCTTCATGAGCACTATTGTTAGCCAGCACATCTTCCTCCACACTCAGGTGAAAAAAATATACAACTGCAGTAGTCAAGATTTTCTACATAAACATGACAGGTAGAATGAATCTCACCATGTATGAAGATAACGAGCTTATTAGAATGTCTCACAAGCTGTGGTCCAGGTAACTTAAGAATAGCTGCCTACCAATGGCAACTGAAGAATCCAATAGATTGCTTCTCAGCCTTTTGTCTAAGATCATGTGAAGAATTCAGTAGTTGTTCAGCCCACAAAACTCAGCATCTCAGCTGGTTTAAGTATTCACCAAAATTACAATGCAGTAGGCTCTAATGCTAGTATAGGAATGAGTTTGGTAACCAGAGCTAGAGCAGAGGCAAAAAGGAGACTTTTCTTCCTCAAAATACTTTATATGTGACTGCTTCTACCAGAATGTAAGATGCTGACTAAAGTTCGGTCATAGTCTTTGTTTGATTCAGATTTTTTTTTTTTTTTTTTTTTTGGAGATTTCAAGACAGGATTTTTCTGTGTAATTGTGGAACTCATTCTGTAGGCCAGACTGGTCATACTGTGAACAACATAAAATGGGACAGGAGAAGTCAGGTGGTGGTAGCACACATCTTTAATATGACTAACCCTAACCCTAACCCTAAACTCTAGGGAGTCAGAGGCAGACAGACTTCTGTGAGTTCAAGGCCAGACTCATCTACAAGAGGTAGTTGCAGGTCATGTTTCAAAACTACAGAGAAACCTAGTCTTGAAAAACAAAACAACAAAAAAGGGAGGGAGACGGGAGAAGGCATGTCTAAACAAGTAGGCAGATGGAGATTTACAGAGCAAATCTATTGTTCTGATCAGGAAAGATCTAAGAGATACTTTTAAAAGATATATCAACATACATAGGAAATAGAACACAAATACAAAAATATGGGAAGGTCCTGTCCACATTGTAAAAGATTGTCTTAAATGAAGAGCTATTCTGAGCTCTTCTAACTTCAGAATAAGGCTTCTTTTGACACTGAAAATGGTGGTTCAAAGGAAGACCAGACACACTTATACTTCTAAGAAGGACCAAGAATAGTTCATTTTAACTAGCCCTGATCTTTAGAGAGAATCTTTGGTGAGTGAAGAAAATTTTATATCTTTGGGTATTACAAATTAGTACTGAAAATATACAAAGAGATTCTATTAACTATTTAGGACATAAAATACACCTATAAAAAATTGATCCCAAAAGTCAAAATTAGGAGAGGTCAACTGTGGGCTTCTAATAATTTTAAAAATTCCTGGAAGGTATTGCCAACATATATTTTGGATTCATCCAGGAGCATTTATACTCAGTCTTTTAGCAGCTGTTGCTCCTTCCTCAGCATTCCAACAATTCAAAGACAACAAAATAACATACAGTATCCAGACTCTCTGTGTATTTTTCATCTTTATTTGTGGTTTTATTTTAAACTCTATTTTTTCTTTTTCTTTTTAATTTTTTTGACAAAGGGTTTCTCTGTATATATCTGGCTGTCATAGATCTCATTCTGTAGACCAGGTTGTCCTTGAATCAGATCTGCCTGCCTCTGCCACCCAGTATTGGATATGAAGCCATGTGTCCCCAAAACCAACTACTCTATTCCTTTTTACTTAGGACTTTATCATTTTATGTCTATCCCAAATCTACATATATTTTTAAATACACAAGAAACCATTGAAAGGTTTTTTCATTTGAATTTATCTTTAATGTATATCTCTCTTTTTCTGACCAAATGAGTCTATAATTTGCTAAGAAATATGGCTACAGATAAAACCTTGGCTTTGACAGCTGGATCCACCTGATTGCTTAGCTTTCTGAGAGTCTAGCCTCATGGCTGAGGTACTGGCAGGATCCACGTTTATTGCCACAATTCTATGGAGTTTCAAGGTCCCTATCACCACCAAGAAGCATGATGGTGACTGTACACAGACACCATTTAAGTGTTTGATGTGGTGCTTCTTAAAAGGGCTGCAAGGTTTTTACAGCTAAGACATAGTCAGGAAGCTTCTCTTAAATGAGAAACTCTTACCTCTATCAAACAGACCCCAGCTAGGAAAATGCTGATACCAAGAAACCATGCTTAACTCTGTACTTTTGTGTCTAGAATTAATTTCCAAGCTCTCTCAGGTTTCAATGGGATTTAGTTATCCACGTTTACAACATTTGTTAACAGAGGTTTCTGTTTCACCTTGTCCTGTAGCCATTCAGTCCCCAAAAAACAAACAGAGGTCTACATTGATTTTAAACTGGTGTGCCTATTAGATCATGCTTCCTATTAACCCTTACATCCTACAATCACCCATAATTCTTGTCTGTGTCAGCCACATGGCTTGGTACCTTTAATCAGCAAGGCAATCTCATCTTATGTCCTCTGCCTCTGGGTGATAACTACAGGCTGAACCTTTGCTCTTCCCAGAATTCTCCTGCTCTGATCTGCCCTGCCTATACTTCCTGCTTGGTCACCCAGCATACACTTCCTGCATGGCTACTGGCCAATGAGCATTTTGTTAAAACAATACAATTGACAAATATTTAAATAGTCCATGACCATTGTCACACAGCAAATTTCCTCTAATTTAGACTTAAAAGGAATAGGTAAGGAACAGTTCAAAAGTACCCAAATTACATGATCAAATACTTGTACCTGATTTCAGTCTAGCAGAAAAAGTAGCAAGAAAAGTATAAATAATAGTCCCTGAAGGGACCTGGTAAACTGCTCATAGTTCTTGATACAAAGAGATCAGAATTTTGGTTTTTAAACTCTTATTAGTATTTTTATGTATTATGCTAAAAAAAAAAAAAGAAAGAAACACATTTCAAAAAAAAACAGAATGGAGTCAGAGCAATTGGGAATGTCCATATGTCCCTTTCCATAGAAGACAGAGAGTTTTCCCTGAAATTTCCTTTGGAAATGATATGGAAGCTGAGAGAAATTCACCATGGTGATAGAATGAGACAGTGAGAGCAAAGACACGAAATGAATGGGAAGTTTGTAAACTCTCTTCAAATCTAGTACCAGTGCATCAACTCTCCCTAGATTTTGTGTTTCATACAGAGTTTAAGAGAACACACTAATTCTAATTCATGCAAAATTACATCTGGAAACTCAGTCAGTAAAACCATGCTCCTTTAATTCAGAATGAATTACTTAGAATAGCTAGTACAACATTGGACCCATTTCTCCTGTGCGGTTATGCAAGTGTAAAGATAGTTTCTATTGTATGGAATCACACAATAAAATATTACCATATTTTAACACACAATAAAGGATATAAAGAAATGCAAGTTTGGCCAGGAATTGGTAGTGCATGTTTTAAACTCCTGCACCTGGGAGGAAGAGACAGGCAGATCTCTGTGAGTTTGAGAACAACCTGCTGTATGGTTTGTGTGCCAGCAGAGCCAGATATACACAGAGAAACCCTGTCTTGAAAAACCCACTAAAGCCTTGTTGGCCAGAGAAGGGTGATGTACATCTTTAATCCCAGCACTCGGGAGGCAGAGACAGGTCTATCTCTGTGAGTTTGAGGCCAACCTAATCTAAAAGAGCTAGTTCCAGGCCAGGCTCTAAAACTACCTAAAATCCTGTCTGGAAAAACCAAAAAAACAAACAGATCCTGTACCAGAAGACCCATCAGAGAGAGTCTTCATCCTGCAACAGATGGAGATAGAGACAAAGTCCCTCATCAGAGCAACAGACTGAGCCCCCAAGTTCCAGTTGAAGAGCAGAAGGAGGGAGAAGATGAGCAAGGAAGTCTGGACTGTGAGGGGTTGGTCGATCCACTGAGACAGTGTACCTGTTCTAATGGGAGCTCACCAAATCCAGCGGAACCGGGACTGAATGAGCATGCCATCAAACAGTACTCTCTGAAAGTGGCTGAAAATGAGGGCTGACTGAGAAGCCATTGATAAAGTCTCTGGGACTTGTTTCTACTGCGTGTACTGGCTTTTGGGGACCCTAGTCCATTTGTTTATTTGGATGCAAAGCTTCCTAGGACTGGATGGGGAGGCTTGGACTTCCCACAGGGAAGGATTCCCTGCCCTCTCTTAATGAAGAATGGGGAGGGAGGAGGGGGTGTGGGGGAGCAGGAGAGGAATGGGAGGATCGGAGGAAGTGTAAACTTTTTGAAAGGAAAAAATAAAAAAAGAAAACCAAACCAACAAAAACAAAAAACAAAAAGACTTCAAAGAGGGCTGGAGAGATGGCTCAGTGGTTAAGAGCACTGCCTGCTCTTCCAAAGATCCTGAGTTCAATTCCGGCAACCACATGGTGCCTCACAACCATCTGTAATGAGGTCCGGTGTTCTCTTCTGGCCTGCAGGCATATACACAGACAGAATATTGTATACAGAATAAATAAATAAATATTTATTAAAAAAAAAAGACTTCAAAGATACAGAAACCCCAGTCTTGAGAAAGTGAAAAGCAAACAAACAAGCAATAAGTGAAGAAACTTAAAAACTGAAGTTTAAGAAATATACTCATGATCCATTGGACCCTGAATTCTACAAGTTCCACGCTGCCCCAAATCTCCAATTACACCCCTACAAACCCCGTACCACAACCTCAATGGAACTCTGAAACACAGCCTGTTACTACTCATAGGAGACCAAGAGGTGAGTGATTACCCATGAAGCAGGACACCCCACTCTCTAGGCCCTCCCAAACTCCCAGGACACACGCCCAGTGGACTCAGCTTCCCTAGCCAGCTAGCCAGTGAGTTTCCTGAAAGTAGGCTGCTCCAACAGCCCCATCCCATCCATTGAATCTTGAAAGCTACAAGTCCCACTCTGCCCCAGGCCCTCCTATCAATGTACCCGCAACCTAAGTGGAAATCTGCAGCACAGCCTGCTATTACACAGAAAAGTCCAAGGGGTGAGTGATGACCCACCCAGCAGGACAACCTCTCTAGGACCTCCATACCGGAGCAAAACTCTGGGCCCAAACACTTCCTGTTTCAGTTCTCTAGCCAGTCAACAGGCAAGTTTCCTCCAGGTGTGCTGCTCAAACACCTCCACACCATCCATCAGACCCTGGGAGCTACAAGTCTCACTCCAACCCCAAAACAATCCTACTTCCCAGACCCTTACAACTTCAGAGGAACATTAAAACACAAGATGCAGCTTCACACTGGGCGATGGTGGCGCAAGCCTTTAATCCCAGCACTCGGGAGGCAGAGGCAGGCAGATCTCTGTGAGTTCGAGACCAGCCTGGTCTACAGAGGTAGTTCCAGGACAGGCTCCAAAGCCACAGAGAAACCCTGTCTCGAAAAACCAAAAAAAAAAAAAAAAAAAAAAAAAGATGCAGATTCACGGGGTGGACCAAGACAGGGACCCTGAAGCACAAGCTGTGACTGCACAGACTGGACCAAGAGTGACCCAGGAGTGCAGACCAAAAGAGTACAAAGAGAGACCTCAGTGGCATGGCTCTCTGAAACACAGAGTTGGCCAAGAACAGGTCTCAAAGACACAAACAACCACTTTAAGAATTGGACCAAGAAGTAAAGACACTGCTAGCACCAATTGAAGGATGAGATGGGTAGGTGCCAATGCAAGAATTCATCCAACAACATAGAAAGCAAATTGGTAACACCAGAACCCAGTGGTCATACAACAGGAAGACTTAATCATCCTAAGTCAGGAGAAGCAAAAAAAAAAAAAAAATTATTTTCAATGTAACCTTGTAAAAACGATGGGGTCCCCAATGTAACTATAGGAGGATGATGAAGGAAATAAAAATTCCCTTAAAGAAATCAAGGAAAAGACAAACAAAAAATAATCACACAGATAAAACAAACAGCTCAAGACTTGAAGACTGAAATAGAGGCAATAAAGGAAAGACTAATGAAGGGAATTCTGTATATGGAAAATCTGGGTAAACAAATGGGAAATACAGCAGGAAGTGTAACCAAGCAAAACACAAGAGATAGAAGAGAGACTCTCAGATGCTGAAGATACTATAGAACAAAATCAAATCATTGGTCAAAGAGCACAATAAATCCAACAAATTCCTTACACAAAACATCCTGGAAATCTGGGACACCATAAAAAAAATTAAAACCTAAGAATAATAGGAATAGAAGAGAAAGACCAACACCAACTCAAAGGCACAGAAACTATATTCAACAAAAAAAAAAATCATAGAAAAAAACTTTCCCAACCCAAAGAAGAATATCCCTATGAAAAAACAAGAAGCTTAGAGAACACCAAATAGACTGGACCAAAAAAAGTCCACCCCCCAAACATATAATGATCAAAATGCAAAACAGAGAATGAAGAAAGAATATTAAGAGCTGCAAAAGATAATGGTCAAGTATACTATAAAGGCAGACCTATCAGAATAACACCCAAATTCTCCATGGAAACCATGAAAACAAGAAGGCCCTGGACAGATTTGCTCAAGACAATAAGAGACCAAAGACACCAGACCTACCAAAGCTTTCAATCACCATAAATGAAAAAAAATAAGATATTCCATGGCAAAACCAGATTTAAACAATACCTATCCAAAATCCAGTCATACAGAAAGTACTAGAGGGAAAATTCCAACCCAAGGAAGCTAACTGTAAACACCGGCAACAGATATCCTAACACCCACAAACCCCAAAGAAGGGAAACAAACAAACACCACTACTGAAAAATACCAGGAACTAGCAGTCCCTCATTATTTACATCTCTTAATATCAATAGACTCAATTAACCTATAAAATGGTACAGGCTAAGAAAATGGATACAAAAGCAGGATCCATCCTTTTGCTTTATAAAAGAAATACACCTAAACCTCAAAGACAAACATTGCTGAAGAGTAAAGTGTTGGAAAAAGATTTTCCAATCAAATATACCTAAGCAGCACACAAGTATAGGTTTACTAATAGCGAACCAAATAGACTTCAAAGTAAAGCTGATCAGAATAGATGAAGAAGGACACTTCATACCCATAACAGGAATAATCCATCAAGGTGAAATCTCAATCCTGAACATCAATGCCCCAAATAAAAGAACACCCACACATGTAAAAGAAACATTACTAAAGCTTAAATTGCTTTACAAGAATAGTAGGAGACTTCAACAACCCACTCTCCCCAGTGGGCAGGTCATACAGAAAAATAAGACAACTAACAAATGTCTTGGCTTAAATGGACTCAATGGGTATCTACAGAGCATTCCATCCAAACACAAAATAATATACCTTCTTCTTTTTTTTAATATTTATTTATTATTTATTATGTATACAATAGTCCAGAAGAGGGCACCAGCAGACCTTATTACAGATGGTTGTGAGCCACCATGTGGTTGCTGGGAATTGAACTCAGGACCTTTGGAAGAGCAGGCAATGCTCTTAACCACTGAGCCATCTCTCCAGTCCAATAATATACCTTCTTCTCAGCACCTCATGGAACCTTCTGTAAAATGGACCACAAACGGTAACAAAGCAAACCTTGACACAAAAAAATGGAATAACCCCCTGTGTCTTATCAGATCACTATGTTTTAAAGTTAGGATTTAGCAACAACATTAATCACAGAAAGCCTAAAAACTCATGGAAATTGAACACTGCTCTATTAAACCACCCCTAGGTCAAGCAAGAAATAAAGAAATTAAAGGCTTTGTAGAATTCAACAAAAATGATGGCACAAAATACCCAAATCTATGGGACACTATGAAAGCAGTGCTAAGATGAAAGTTCATAGCGCTAAGTGCCTACATAAAGAAAATGGAGAAAACTCACCCCAGTGACTTAAGAGCACAACTGAAAGCTTTACAACAAAAAGAAGCAGACTCACCCAGGAGGAGTAGAGGATAGGAAATAATCAAATTGAGGGCTGAAGTCAATAAAATACCAAAATTAAATCAACACCAGATGAGCAATTCAACTCAGCTTATAACCTGCAAGGAAAGAAAAGAAGTCATCAAAAGCCTTTCAACCAAAAAAGCCAATGGAAAAACAGTTTCAGTTCAGAATTCTGTCAGAACTAAGAACTAATAACTATACTCAAAGGGTTTCACATAATAGAAACAGAAGTAAGATTGCAAAACCACTTTTATGAAGCTAAAGTTACCCTTATACCAAACAACACAAAGATTCAACCAAGAAGGAGAATTCCAGACCCATCTTACTGATGAACATAGATGCAAAAATACTCAATAAAATACTAGCAAATCAAATCCAAGAACACATCAAAAAAATCATCTATCATGAAGTCAGCTTTATCAGAGATGCAAGGATGGTTCAAAATACAAAAATCTATTAAGAATTTTGCCCTCTAAAATATCCAAGTTATATATATAAAGAAAAGAATCCTGCCCTCTTCAAGCTCCTTTCCTAACATCCTTTAATAGTGAACAACAATATGGCAGTATAGGCCAAATTAACCTTTTTTCCTCAGCCTGGGTTTTGGGTATCACAACAACAGAAACCCTAATTAAGACACCATGTGTGGATGATATGTATGAGAGACATGCTCTTCTCTAAAGTTAAACAAAGAAGAGAGATTTGGGGGAAGGTTGGGACAGAGAGCAATAGTGGGAGGAAAGACTGCAGTCAAGATGAAAGAATAAATAAAAGATAAATGAAAGAGAGGAATGAGGAAAACTGAGGGAAGATTGGGTCAAGGAAAGATGAAAATTTAGCAGGGCAAATGACAAATCTTGTGGCTCTATCTCAGGTATATGGGCTTTATTTCCAAAGGGCTTAGAAAGTTCTATCCCTGCTGAAACATTAATCTAATTGACATTTAACAATAAGAAATCAGGAGTCAGAGAGCAGGATAAGAAACTGAAAGATCAGAGAAGCAGTTAACCAGCAAATTGTGACTACCACCTCTTCAGTTTCTCCATGTTAGTAAAGTGCTAATATTCTCTTCGGCCTGTCTTAGGAATCCTGACTCCTATCTGTCCAGAGTCCTCCAAACCTCCAAATTTTGGTCAGGTAGTGATTAGCTCTGCTATAACACTAAGGAAGCTTTATTATCACAATATAATCAAAATATCACACATTTCCCTATTTGTTTTATTAAAAAGTGAAGGTTTTAACTATCACAGTAAAGCTATATACACTAAATACAATAACTAGATATAATATATACAAGGAAGAATTATACTAACAATGTTCAATCCATTTGCATTTGGAAAATTTAGAGAAAATGTTTGATCATCTATCCTATCTTAGTAAGCCCAAGATGTTGTACCTAAATTACTTTTTATCCTAACTGTTATTACTAACCTTAAATAATCTTTCTGTCTCTTAGCCTTATATACTTTATACATTTTTAGTTCCTCTTTTTTCAATTTATTAACATGCATAATTACAATTATCGAGTCTTTAGCTCCATCAAGGAACCCAGAAGGATATATTACCTGAGTAAACAGAGAGTATAAAGCAAACAATATTTAAAATGAAAAAACAACACCATATGCCTATTTAAAATAAATTTTTGCCAGGCTTTAGTGGTACATGCCATTAATCCCAGCACTTTCATAGCAGAGGCAGATATATCTCACTGAATTAGAGGCCAGCCTGTTCTACAAAGTGAGTTCCAGCAAAACCAGAGGAACAAAAAGGAATCTATCTTTTAAAAAAAAGAACAAAAAAGTCTATTTGTTTCACCTTGAAAACACACCTAACATGATTATAAGCATGTTTATAATAAGTGACTATTAGGCCAATTTATTCTTTTGAAGGGGGATATTTTATTTGGATGATGTGATTTTTTTTTTAGAAATCTCAGTTTTCTAGTGGTTTTTAGATTCCTTAGTTCGATGTTTTCATATTTTAGTAAGGCAAAACAAAACTCTGCCATAACCCTAACTTTATGGAGTTTTATTTTTGGAAATTCTATTTAATCAAAAGGAAAACATCTGTTAATCTTACATATTAGTTAAGATTGAATGGTAATGCTCTCTGATGAACTATTGTCTCTTTTACTCAAGAGATATTTTTGTTTGAAACTAATCTTTAAGGATTTAAGTGGTCTCTGTAACTTTATTCCCCAATTTAATACATATCTTGGTTTTTATTCTGACTGAAATGTATCTTAAAAGCATACAAGTTGGTTTAATTTCCAGGGCTTTTTTTATTATCTAATGTTTACTCACACCTGTTGTCTCTATTTTATTAGCATTTAAAAATTAAAAGTTAATAATCTATTCTGTAACATATCTCTGCGGGCTTTAATTACCACTTTCTGTTAACTGAGCATATATTGTAAAATGCCTGATGAAGTGGTAATCTAATTAATCTTTTTCAATCCAAAAACAACCTAAAGGGCTGGAGAGCTGGCTCAGCAGTTAAGAGCATTGCCTGTTCTTCCAAAGGTCCTGAGTTCAATTCCCAGCAAACACATGGTGGCTCACAACCATCTGCAATGAGGTCTGGTGCCCTCTTCTGGCCTGCAGGCATACAAGCAGACACAATATTGTATACATAATAAATAAATATTTAAAAAAAAAAACAACCTAAAAATGAGTTAAAATTTACTTCCTGTTACATGTCATAGAGCAGAATATGTGGATTGTGCCCTATCTACCTATCTAACACATTGCACATCTGAGAAATCTCTGCACATCAGAAACTCCTTTTGTCCCCTGGAACTAAGCTTCACTGGATCACACCATTGCAGCTAGTGGTAACACCATGTTAAAAGCACTCTACTCAACCACTGCTCTACCAGGTGCTAAACAATTTGTAATCTTTATAACACGAACCTGAAATTGGAATGCAATATTCAGAACTTCTAGAAACTTAACCCTCAGTTTTCTAATCTCTCTTCCCACTGTACAACAAAAGCAGTGCCCATGTGTGTACTCTGGACAGAGATAGAACCAGCATCATTTCCTTCCATTGCAGGGCTGCAGAGTCTCCCCTTCCCAGTATTTCCATACAAAAAGAGGCTCGGAGAACAAGGGCCACTGCCAACATGAACCACATGGACCAACATAACTAAAGTCTAGCTCATGGTACTTCTAAGTATCAGCAGAAATGACATTTCAACAGGCATGATCTGAACACCCCCCACTCATTGTGGGATAGCTTATGGCCTTCCTTACCACCCCCTACAGCAGAGACAGAAGAGAATCATGAAAAGAACTCACAAACTATCTGCCACTAGTACTCTTGATTTCTAACCCTTCCCAGAATCTCTCACTGGCTAGGGCCACCCAGCTGGGCCTCTCAATATTAGCAGCGATCAGAGATCAGAGATCAAATGACTCAGACAGCATAATCCTTCCAGTCCTGCCCTGCCAGCCCAGCAGACAGGGCCCCAGTTTAGACAGTTTGTATTTAGCACACATTATTCCACTCTCCTAGAGCACATCCTCTTCCTCATCTAAAGCACAGGGTCCTTGTGTGCACATTCCATTACATACTCACTTTCCAGTGCAGCCATCCCATTGGCTCAGAGATGGGAAACCCTGCATACAAACAGGTCACATTCATAAAGTAATTACTGTTACTGTGTGACTGTGGTTACTTTGTAACTGTTGTTAAAGAAGAACAGACCAGGAATTAGAAAACAATCCAGGGATCTTAGGGCTTGGAGGCAGCAAGGAGAATGTAAATATGATGTAGTTGTCATCTCAAAAACTATTTTTAAATCTTGAGACAGACTTTATGGTCATGTACTCCAGAGACAAGGGATTTGTATAGAGCACAATAAAATTTTTTCATGTATTTTCTCTAAAGATCAATGTCTTAATAGAGAAAAGTCCTGTTAAGTAGGGCCACAACATTTTGCCCAGATCTTCTATTGTAGATGAACTGCTGTAAATATAGCAATTAGGTTTAAAGATAAGGTCACTCCCTTTCCCAGTTTCCTTTTGGCACTGGTCTGTGGACTGCAAACAATGGTCAATCAGGACATTCATAAAGCATCTACAGTTGACTACCTGATTCCACATAGCTAACCTCAACTACTTATGAAGGAGGAAAGTTTTCACCCTCAGTCCAGCCTCTCCTTTTCTGCACTGTGTCTCCACCAGCTTAAATAAACTCTTCCTCCTACTGTAGTCTGAGGACAGAAGGAATGCTCCACATGCAAATCCTTTCCCTGCAACTGCAATGCATAGTCAACTACATGACTCACATGCATAATTTTAAAACTGTGAGGTGGTGCAATCATTTTTAAAGGAGTTTTGAAAGTCTAATGTACAGGACAGCAAGGTCATTGCCCTGAAGAGCAGCAGACCAAGGCCACCTGAGTCAATATAAGAGAACTTGTTTCAGAAACTATTTTTCTAACAGGATGGAAATGCAGCTGTTCTAGAATTAATGTAACTTTCATTGAGAAATCACTTCACACACTGACGGTGCCAAACTGTAATGCCTCCTTGAAAGGCTTGATAGAGGTTGTTTTTGATATGGGGATGTGCCTTGTGTCTGGTTTTAAATCAACAGTGGATTCTTTGTAATGGTTTGGAGACAAATATCTGGACAAGCCAGTTGAACAATGTGTACCCTAGCATCCTAAACTCTAACAGCCCTGATTAAAATACATTTATCTTTTGGGTGATTTAGAGGCAGTCCTCCCTCAGCTAAATACTACTTTGGGAGACTGAACTATTTCCAAGGCATTGGCGAATCCTTTGTATCAGCAATTCTCCTCTTCTACGTTGCAGCTTGGAAGTGCAGTGCTACCCAACAGGTGAGATGCCTTGACACCGTCCACATAGTTAAATATAAATGGAGATTGTATGTAAAGGTTATATGCAAAAGTGCTCAATATCGAGAAGATGCTGAAGAACCTAGGCTTCCCTGACTTTGGCATATTGAAGTTGACAAGATGTTTGTACACACAGCACCCTGCTCCCAATTCTCTAAGCGGATTAAACCCAAAGTGCACAGCTATTCAGAGGTCTGTCCCTAGGTCTAGGAATTAACAGGACCCCGTGGGACTTCACAACACAGGAAATATGGCGTCAGGTTTCCACCCGGATCCAGAAAGGACACAGCCTACTGTCTCCCGCACCTCACCCTCTGCTCCTCCCCATCTGGAGACAACATTCCCCCGCTCACCATGTTGTCATTTCTCAGCTCGCCAAAGCTCTCAGTTTATCAACTCCCTGCAGCAGCAACTTTACCGCAACACAGGAAACCAACGGTGCCAGCTCCTCTGCAAAATCGAGACTGAATGCAGAATCCCGGAAGAGCCCTGCTGACTGGCAGGTCTCCTGGAGGGCCTGATTGGCTAGCGAGGCCTGAGTGACAAGAACACCTCCCACAAGACTGAAGTGCGCTTAAAGAGACAGCACAGAGATTTCGGGCCATTCCATCCACCTGAGTCATCATAATCTTGCACTCCATAGGAACTTTCCATTTTACCTCCAGAATACGACGTGGCCACTTAGCTTGTACAGAGCACTGTGCTGTGCTAGGTGGGTCCAGGGATTTCCTGTCCCACAAGGGGAAGAATGCCCAGAATATAAACAGCTAAGGAGAATTTTAAGGTCACAAAAGGAGATGTTTGGCTTCATGCTGAGGTCAGATGAACTGAAGGTACTTTTTACATGGTTTTCACAGGGATTCACACAACAGAAAAGAGAAAAACAGGAGCCAGATCTCAAACAAGATGATAGGTGTTTCCCCCATCAGAAAGCTGGATTTACGGGTTTTATTACTGAAATTCAAACCAAACTCCAGAAAAATGAATGATAATAAAAAGAGTAGTGTTCATGGTAATGTGAATACATAGAGAATAATGGAGCTAGAAGGAATGTCTTCATGAGCACTATTGTCAGCCAGCACATCTTCCTCCATGGTCAGGTGGATAAAATATACAACTGCAGTATTCAAGATTCTCTACATGAACAGGAAAGGTAGAATAAATTTCAACATGTGTGTAAAAAGTGGGCTTATTAGAATGTCTCACAAGCTGTGTTTCAGGTTGTCTAAAAATAGCTACTTATAAATGACAATTGAAGAATCCAGTAAATTGCTTCTCACCCTTTTCCCAAAGATCAAGTGAAGAATCCAGTAGTTGTTCAGCCCATGAGGCTTTATGTCTCAGCTGGCTTTAAGTATTCACCAAAAATTTCAAAGAAGTAGTCTCTAGTACTAGTAAAGGAATGAGCTTGGTTGCCAGAGCAAGGTGACAAAAAGGAGCCTTTTCTACTTCAATATACTTTCTGTGTAACTGCTGCTACCAGAAGGTGAGAAGGTTAAAGTTAGATCATAGTCTTGTTTGATTCAGATTTTCTTGTTTTGGTGATTTCAAGACAGGATTTTTCTGTGTAGGTGTGAAACTCATTCAGTAGGCCAGACTGGTCTCAAACTCAGAAAATCCCAGTGCCTCTTGTTGTGCCCATATTATGACCCTCAGAGAGAGACCACCAGATAGGTTCAGACTGTAATAAGCAAGGTTTAATCCGCATAATGCAAACATGTTTGGAACTCATCTCTATCCCCCTTACAGCAAGGTAGAGAGGAGTTGTATCTCCTCTGTGGGGTAAGCTTTTAAAGAAATAACTACAAATAGAATCTTTGATGTTGCCTTGGCAAGGGTACAAGGACTTTTGCTCCCGCCCATTCTGTTAAGTCAGCTATCTCCTTGTTCTTAGAGCAAGGTCACTGTTCTTCAGTTAGGCCATCTTTAACAGCCTGTACCAGGTGGCTGGCTGGGCTGACCTAAGTGACCTTGTGCTCAGAATCTCCTGGGTGGGAGAGGGGAAGGCCACTATCTTCCTGGGAAAACATTCTGCTAGGAAATTTCTTCTCTCCCCTTTGAGAATGAGGGGTGAGGGTTCTACATTCCCCATTCCTTTTGATCCTAAGCTCAATCATGAGCTGGCTTTGCTAACATTGGCCAAATTGTCTTTTACAATTACAGAATCAATTTTATGTTTTTTTAATTTAGCATTTTTACCAGAGATGATTGGATGATATATTCTTTTAACTGCTTCTAGCTGATTTTAGGACATTGTTGTCGAGGGCTAACAAAGAGAAAATGCTAATCAAAAAGAGAAAATTTTAGGAACATTTGGATTGTGGACGTTGTTGAAGAGCCAGTGAGCATTTATATTGACTAGACTGGTCCACATCAGTTTTTAACAAGTCCATGGTCCACAGTCTTTTGGAGCAGGTTGTAGTCAGCAATTGATGCTTGTTTTTATCCACCAACCAAGGCAAAACCTGTTAAAACAAATTTAAACTAGGAACAGAAGTTAATACATTTGAAACTTTTAGGCCCATATTAAAATTCATATTATAGAAATAGCAAATAACACATAACTATAAAACAGTAAAAATAGACTTATACCTTTGAGTCCCAGCAAAAACACAGAAAATCCTGAGCTTGTAACCTAAGTAGTATATATTGTTTATGAACTTTTATATCCTCAGATTTTATATATAATGAGCTAACAAGCTGGCTATAGCTTTGTGTAAGGATCTGGATATCGTTTTTGCTCTTAAATTGATATTATAGCTGGCCTAGCCATTAATACAGAAATCTTAGAAGGATAAATAATTTATACTTAAGTTCAGAAAACAGAAAAATGACAGAGACCAGCCCATATACAGTCATACCCAGGTCGTCATAGCATTGGAGTCAGAAGTATCAGAATAGCAGGCTTTACCAGACCTATAAGGTGATTGGTTTCTGTAGAAGAGGGACGTGGAAAAGACTGACCTTATTTGTCTAGGCAAAAGTGCAATCAATTCTCCAAGATCCTAGTGTTTGTTCACAATCTGGGCTAGGTCCTGGCAGCCAGTGCTGTACTGGGGTCATCGTTCCCAGTGGTCAGCATTGTTGTTATCCAGGTGGAGATATTGTGGTGTCCCATAGTCTTCTTTGGAGACGTTGGATCATGGTTAGGATCTCAGGGTTTCTGTCTGATACAAGCTTTTTAAATTTTATTTTAAATGCCACTGTTATAGATCTCTGAAGTATTTTTTTTAATATTTATTTATTTATTATGTATACAACATTCTATCTGTGTGTATGTCTGCAGGCCAGAAGAGGGCACCAGACCTCATTCCAGATGGTTGTGAGCCACCATGTGGTTGCTGGGAATTGAACTCAGGACCTCTGGAAGAGCAGGCAATGCTCTTAACCACTGAGCCATCTCTCCAGCCCCCGATCTCTGAAGTATTTAGGGCTGTTTAGGTATCTCTGATTAGACAGACTTTATTTTAAATTACTTGTTTTAAGCTTTGAAACATATATAGGGGACTAAATAAGGCTTATCCCTGCAATTATATTAGTACTTTGAGGATGATTGGTTATTAACTAGTATTTTTTTTCCTTTTTTTATTGAAAAAATTTCTGCTTCCTCCCCACTTCCCACCTCCTTCCCCCTCCCCCCACTCACCTCTTCCTCCCTCACCAACCAAAGAGCAGTCAGGGTTCCCCACCCTGTGGGAAGTTCAAGGTCCTCACCACTCCATCCAAGTCTAGGAAGGTGAGCATCTAAACAAGCTAGGCTCCCACAAAGCCAGTACATGCAGCAGGATCAAAACCCAGTGCCATTGTCCTTGGCTTCTAATCAGCCCTCCTTGTCCACCATGCTCAGACAGTCCCGTTTTATCCCATGCTTTTTCAGTCCCAGTCCAGCTGGCCTTGGTAAGCTCCCAATAGATCAGTCCCACTGTCTCAGTGGGTGGGTGCAGCCCTTGCAGTCCTGACTTCCTTGCTCATGTTCTCCCTCCTTCTGCTCCTCATTTGGACCTTGGGAGTTCAGTCCAGTTCTCCAATGTGGGTCTCTGTCTCTATTTCCATCCATCACCAGATGAAGGTTCTATGGTGATATGCAAGATATTCATCAGTATGGCTACAGGACAGAGCCATTTCAGGTTCCCTATCCTCAGCTGCCAAAGGAACTAGCTGGGGACATCTCCCTGGACACCTGGGAACCCCTCTAGAGTCAAGTCTCTTACCAACCCTAAAATGGCTTCCTTATATAAGATATATACTTCCTTGCTCCCATATCCACCCTTCCTTTATCCCAACCATCCCATTTGCCCAAGCTCTCCCAATGCTCCCCTTCTCACTTTTCTCTCCCCATTTCCCCTTACTCCCATCCCACCCTACCCCAAGTTTTCAATTTTTGCCCAGCAATCTTGTCTACTTCTAATATCCAGGAAGATAATTATATGTTTTTATTTGGGTTCACCTTCTTATTTAGCTTCTATAAGATCACAAATTATTATAGGCTCCATGTCTTTTATTTATGGCTAGAAACCAATTATGAGTGAGTACATCCCATGTTCATCATTTGGATCTGGGTTACCTCACCCAGGATAGTGTTTTCTTTTCTTTTTTTTTTTTTTTTTTTTGGTTTTTCGAGGGTGTCTCTGTGGCTTTGGAGACTGTCCTGGAACTAGCTCTGTAGACCAGGCTGGTCTCGAACTCACAGAGATCCGCCTGCCTCTGCCTCCCGAGTGCTGGGATTAAAGGCCTGCGCCACCACCGCCCGGCCAGGATAGTGTTTTCTATTTCCATCCATTTGCATGCAATATTCAAGATGTCATTGTTTTTTTTTTCAAGATGTCATTGTTTTTCACCCCTGAGTATTACTCTAATATGTATATATTCCACATTTTCTTCATCCATTCTTCCATTGAGGGGCATCTAGGTTGTTTCCAGGTTCTGGTTATTACAAATAATGATGCTATGAAATAGTTGAACAAATGCTTTTGTCATATGATAGGGCCTCTCTTGGGTATATTCCCAAGAGTGGTATTGCTGGGTCCTGGGGTAGGTTGATCCTGAATTTCCTGAGAAACTGCCACACTGATTTCCAAAGTGGTTGCACAAGTTTGCATTCCCACCAGCAATGGATGAGTGTTTCCCTTACTCCACATTCTCTCCAGCATAGGCTATCATTGGTGTTTTGATTTTAGCCATTCTGACAGGTGTAAGATGGTATCTCAAAGTTGTTTTGATTTGCATTTCCCTGATCACTAAGGAGGTTGAGCATGACCTTAAGTGTCTTTTGGCCATTTGAACTTCCTCTGCTGAGAATTCTCTGTTCAGTTCAGTGCCCCATTTTTTAATTGGATTAATTAGCATTTTAAAGTCTAATTTCTCGAGTTCTTTATATATTTTGGAGATCAGAGTCTGTTGCAGGGTTGGTGAAGATCTTCTCCCAGTCAGTAGGTTGCCTATTTGTCTTTGTGACAATGTC